GGAAGTTTTGGGTGAAAAAAGGTGTATGAGCAACTGTCTTTGATGAAGGAAAATATTAAAAATGGTATAGATGATAATTCCATGTAAAAATTTGAGTTTATCAGTGTTTCTGCTTGATTTGAACTTTCAGGCGTTTATTTAAAAGAAACTAAACTTAGAATAAATTTTGTTCTATCTGTTATTCGATGGTCGAATGTATTGCCGATATAAAAGAAAAAAACAGATAAAACGTGCGCATGGAAAGGAGAAAAGAGAAAAGAAAAAAAGTATAAGAAATCGTACGCTATAAGAAATCGTAGAGACTGTGGTGACACATGAAAAACTCAAGATGTAATTATAAGAAGCCCGCTGTCGGATTCGCCCTGAAATTCTGCATATACCACCTTAGTTTCATAAAGTTTGGTCCGGTGCGGAGCTTGCACCTAATTTTCTAATGTGCTCCAAATTCAAGGTTTCTTAGCACTATTTCATTTTTTTGCCGAATTATATCTCATTCGATGCAGAATTTCGTGCTGATCACAAATATCTAAGTCTGAGCCTTACCCGTTTTCTACTATGGCGAGTGATAGTTTTTTTTTCGAAAAAAAAAATCTTTAAAACTTTTGGGGGTAGAAGTAGTCTCTTATTGGGCTCAAAATCATTCTCTTTCGAAGGATAACCACACTGCGATGTACGCCTTACATTGCTTCAAATTTATTTCCAGATGTTTAACACCAAGCAGCTCGATCGTCCATTGGGTTGGCTTGAAGCATTAACCGTTGACGCTAATTTGCTGGTGGTTGGCGTTTGTGAACTCGAGTTTTCTTCTACTATTACCGGCGGCTTTGATAAACAACGTCTTCAATCAGCTTTACACCGATGTATTGATTGTCATCACAGCTTGCGTATGAATACTACTCCTGCTAAACCCTACCATTTTCAATATGTTACTCAGCCGTATTCTACACCATCCTACATCGAATTTGAAGGTGGTAGTACTGATGACGACGACGAATGGCAACAGATTGTGAATCGAGAAATGAATGAAGGATTTGAAATGGGCAGTGAAGTAACAAGTTTATTTAAGCTGGTAGTACTGCATAACCAAACAAATCCAACACGGCAATTTCTACTCATGAAATATCATCATTCAATAGCCGATGGAATATCCGGTATGATTATATTACACACACTATTATCCTTTTACTTTGACAGCGGTGATCCTGATAATGGATTAACACGTTTAGCGGATAATGAGACACTGGCATTTCCCCAGGTAACGGAGGAGGTTGAAAAGCAGACGGAGCAGATGAGAACCGAAGTTTTGACGTACAAACGTCAGTGGACGCCGACAATTCCTTATGAAGTAGTGGGAAATACAATACGGAATTCAGCACTGTATTTCAATGGAACACAGGAGAATATGGACAAATTAATGGATCGATGTCATGAAGAAAAGGTTACTTTGGGAAGTGTATTACTGGCATCAACTTATTTTGCAATTGCAGAACTGGTAAAAGAGAAGTGGTAAGTGTGTAGCATTTGATTGAAAAGTAGTGTTAAACAAGAAATTTTGAGCTTACGAGGGAAGGCCACCAAGTGTTCCCTCGCTTTTGAGCTGAGACTCAGTTGACCCATTTGCGCTAAAAAATTTTTTTGATCTGTCGAATTGATATAGTTTGTCGCGAAACCTACAGAAAACCACTTTTCAAGGTTTCATGAGAGGTTCTGGGCGAATTTTCTACGTCAAAAACTTTAAAAAAGAGAGGAAAAACCGGCTTTTTTACGAAGTATAATGCAAAAATTGCTCTTTTTTTGCCTTGTTTTTCAACTTATCGAAGGCCTTTAATCAATATCGCTGCGTACATGTGTTAGACATAGCATAAAAATTAAGAGCTTTTGAAAGTATTAGCTGTTAAAGAGCAATTTTTGCATTATACTGCGTAAAAAAGCCGGTTTTTCCTCTCTTTTTTAAAGTTTTTGATGTAGAAAACTCGCTCAGAACCTCTCATGAAACTTTGAAAAGTGGTTTTTTATAGGTTTCGCCACGTACTCTATCAACTGGACAGATCAAAAAAAATTTTCAGATGGTTTTTCGGCTTGAAAACCAAGATCTTCAAAAAACCGGGCCTTAAAGTAAAATTAGCCCGAATCATTTTGAAATTCGGAATCAACACGCTCGATTAGCCCCGGTCAACTGAGTCTCAGCTCAAAAGCGAGGGAACACTTGGTTGTCTTCCCTCGTTAGAGGTGACGACTGGCATTGCACCAGAAAACTCAATCACGATTTCCTCAGGCATCCATCTGTAGTGAGTGGCCGACTTTTTCTGAAAAAAGTCTTTTGAAAGTCTTCTGAAAAAACTTTTCGGCAGATAAAGCTCGACAAGCAGTTTTTCACAATCTTAGTAGAGATTTGCTCAGATAGACCGAAGATATTTTATGATCTCCAAAAGTTTAAACTTGCTCTTGCAGTTTTTGCATTTCGTTGGAAACTTTCGGCCGCAGTCGAACTTTGAAGTCTCTGTGCGTTGAGAGCTGTTTCTAATCAAACCATGAAATAGGGATCAGACATACCATTTTGTCGCAGGCCGCACTGAATTTGAAGATCTCTAGCTCCTGAGATATGAGCGTTACAAAAAACGTCATGGAAAGAAGTAGGGAGCGCAGTTCTATGACTTTTATGGAAAGAGTGTTAAAACTGGATGCAGATGGACACAGATTTGAAAGAAGGAATTTTTTAAGAACTGTAATGGGAGAACGAAAATTGCGTGTAGACTACTATTTGCCTCTCTATGACTGTGAAACACTTGATTTGGAAAAAAATAAGAACTGCACAATCAGAGATGAAAAGTCGCGATTTTCTTAAACGAAATGAGCCATATCTTGGCTAGGTTAAATCGAAATCGACCAGCCCTCGTACCATTCGAAAGAGAATCTGCGGTCGGACGGAGCTTCTAAACATAATTCCTCTCCCTGATCTACTATGCAAGCAAACTTCACTTTCATTTTTTTGAAAGAATGCCCCTGAAACTTAATTTGTGACCCGCATTAATTAAGAAATTAATTCAGCAGGACTTTCTGCGTAATTCCCAGACGATTTCTAACTTGCGACGAAGACGAGAACAGTTTGCTAGCTTCATCAGATAAGTTTTCTCTACTCTAGGCTCTCAACTCCGTCAGCTACATTCTCCAACTTTAAATTCGATGTCGACGTCAATCTCCGTCATCGTTATCCTGCTGCTGCTGACACACCACCATTGAGTCGCTATGAAAGCGTTGGTCTTCACGTTGGTATGATGAACTTAAACGACATTACCGTCTCACTTCAAACACAGTTCTGGCAGCTCTGTCATGTCATTCACCAGCAGCTAACACAAAACCTAGTTGAGGGAAAACATCTTACCTATCTTCGTGCTAATCGTCTTTGTTCAACTGATATTCTTATGGAAGAACAAGTTCAGCGAAATCACGGTCGTAGTAGTGACCTTAATGTTTCAAATATTGGCAAATATCCATTTCAACAGGAATATGATGATGGTCATATCAAATTAAAACATTACTATTGTGCTGGCTCAGGCTGGTGCCCCTTCAATGGTACCAATGTGTTATTAGTGTGCTCGATGAAAAGTCTGGACTATACGTTGGTTTATGAGACTGGAACGAAGAATGAAGAAATAGCAAAACATTGGTTTCAGAAGATGACAAGCTTGACGGAAGCAGCTGCTGAGACGGATGCGGAAGATTTGACATTTGAACGGTGGACCAAAGATGGTGATGCAAAGTGATTTTTTCGAACACCTCTTCAAACACTACCTACAAAACTCTAACGGAGACCGTTGTCTTTGATCTTTTCTTCTCTCTGACCTAAAAACCCTTGTTTAGTTGGTAGCATCGACTGACGCTATGAGTAACATGGTAGGAAGCATTGGGGTGTAGTCACTATACCAATGCTTCCTTACCGTAGTGTAGGGATACTTCTTAGCTGATTTACGTAGGTAGAAAGAAAACTAGAAGCAGATTTTCGACTTTCTGGAGAAGACTTTGGCCCACCAAAGCCATATTGAAGGTGCAGGATATGGCGCTACAAATTGGCCTGCCTCATCAAATTTAGAGATAAAATTATTGCACCTATTTTAGAAAATTTTAAGGATTATCTTTTGTTATTAAGCTATACTTTAGAACACGAGCTATCTTTTCTACCTTTTCACAGAACTCAAAACTGCTTTATTAGAATATAGTTCTTGGGTTAAACGTGAGACTTTATGAACTTGTTTTCTCAGTGTACCAACATGTTTATATCATTATTCATATCAAAATGTAGGCCACACTCGGATGTATTTAGACAACAGATTTTGGTTTCTGCGCTATTCTTTTTGCTAGAATATTTCTCAAAACTTTTTATTTCATTTAGGGAAGTGCACTAAAATATCGTAGGATTGCATTATTTTTTCTTGTGGTTCAAATATACATCATTCGATGCAGAATTTAGCGTTAATCACTAATATCTAGTTTATAGCCTTCCCAGTGCACGTTTTTCTTGAATAGAATTCAAAAGCTGAAACTCTCAAAATTCAGCAATGATTTTCTACTTCCTTGGAAATGTGATTTTCAGGAACTTTACGTTTTTCCTAAAACGTCTTGTATTTTCCCGAAAATCGTGTTTATTTCTTGTGAATCTGTCGTTGATCAGACATTCAAATTCCTCTGATTAATGTCTCAGCCGCATACTCAGAGAAGCGTTGCCCTATACAGAACAAATGCAATATACATTTTCATTTATCTTAGCTTGACTCTATATATTGATTTCAATAAAATGTCTGAATGGGAAGGATATATTACACATCGTCACTTCCGTCCTATGTCTTTAGCTTGTAACTGTCACAGTCAAAAAATAAGGTCAGAAGTAGGAGTATGAAGGTGTACTCAGTTTTCGGAGCACTCCTTTTGAAAAAAGCCAGTAAGAGCACTGTATATGATGGAAACAGTGGGCGTGCAATTTTCTGATAAAAGCAAACTTCAACATCTATTTCCCTTATTAAATAAAACAAATTTAAATTTAATAAATCAAATCTTTTCATTGTTCTTACATAGAGACATTCTTAAATGTCTGATAACTTGATATGTTCTATCCGTTATGTCGCACTCACATCTTAGCTAAATCTAACGATATTTCTATCAGAAATGCATAAAACTAGATTTGTTTATAGATTAAATGATTTTTGATGATGATTTTTTTCAGAGATTTTAAGCTATTAAATTTTTGTTTTTATTAGTGTATCTGTGCACTGTAATCAGAATAAGGGATACTTTCCATAATATAATGGGAAATAGGTACAAATATTTCTAATGAATGTAAAATTTGTGTTAATAATCTTTGAAACGACCAAATAAATCAGTTTTATTTTTAGCAAAAAATACACAAGTTTCTTCACATTAGCGAATGTACTTGGTTATACGTTAAATTAAGATTATAGTCTAGTCCCACGGAGCCCGGAGTATGTCCTATTTAGTATAGACGATCTCTTCCAAGTTGCTTGTTGTATCTAGCGCTGCTAGAGCAAATCGGGATGGAGCAGCTTTTATTCGTGCAGGCTGTTCAAATATTTGCTGTGCCATGATACCGATGTCTAAAAACAGCTTTATGTATGTCGTAGAGGAATCCAGCATATATTTTGCCAATTTTTGTTTGTAAAAGCTGTTCTCTGTAAACTGCCGACGGATAAACATAAATAAAAAATGTTAAAATCTCTGGTGTATAAATCAAAGCTTTTAAAACTATAGTCAGGCGTATTTGACCTATTGTCGTTGGGCACCGACCTATAAAATGAAATAGAATAACATGTGGTAATATACATATGATGATCAACGCGTGCGGTATGAAAAAAATCATAATGATTTCTACGTTGTTGCTTCCAAACTGACCATCGAGGAAATGCTAATTTATGTCTGGAGATACTTATCAAAACCCACACACTTGTATGGAGTCCAAGACAAATTGTGTGTTAATATCATACCAAAAGGTTTATTTTCCGTTACTTCGTCTAGTGCAATTCCATCAATTAAAACTATATGATTACGATCTGAATGTAGAATAGAGAATGAACATTTCGTTTCACATTCTATGCTATACGCCATTTAGAATTGTATTTCGAATCATTATCAATTATTTTACCAGCTCTAGCTTCGAATTGGTGTAGAAATGTTTTATATTTCATTTTATTTGTCTCATCTTTGTGATCAAGTTCATCAATACAAATTGAGAATGATAAGGGTGCTAGAATCTCACTTTGTGGCACATCAGAATTAATCCTAAGTGGAGTATAACAGACACTCTCAACCGTTGTACAAATCTTTCTATTATGTCATAAAAACATAAGGACAACTTTAATCCATTCTTGAATTAAACATGACTGTCAATGGTATGTATACTGTTTGGATATCAAAACAAATTTAAAAAGAAGATTTCGCTTAGTGTCGTAATATGTTGAAATTAAGCAATGACTCAACATCTAAAAAAAAAGAGAATGAAGATTATGATTTTGTTTTATGTACGCCCAAAACAGCTGTAATTGAATTAGAAGAATAGCTAGAAATGTGAAAACTGCATACACGTTCATATATAATAGCAATTTTTTTCATAATTACTTTGCTTACAAAATCAGATGCATAACAAAAGCAACTATCAAATGCATCAGTTGGTAAAATCGAATTCTAAATCAATTGAATCTTCTAATTGTCTTTGATTGACTTAGACATTTGCTAACTGATGTTCGATCAATGCATTAGTTTCAATTAGCTGGGGTGGTGTACAATCGCAGGTTGGTGTTGCTGATATTGACGCAAATATCTGTGTAAAATTAAAATTTAACGACAATACATACGAACGAGTCGGGCATAGTTGAATTTCGCTGTATTTATCTGTTACATTTTCGCGAAATTCAACATATCATTTGCCTCTAAGCCAATTTTCCATGTGTTGCTCTGTTGTGTATATAAGTTTTGTATTGTGTGATAGTTTGGAGGACAAATTCATTCTTTTTGCAAACTGAAGAAGGAAGAAGATTCTTCCGAAACGTTTTTGTGAAATAATTTTTGTTAATAAAAATTTAAAAGGAAGAGTTTAGAATCCAAAACTAATAAGTTGTTGTGTTACAGTCATAAAATATTTATCAGTTATGCCTTTTGTACAGATGATACTGTCTTGATTATACTTTGTACCCAAGTTGATAAATTGTTCACGTTCGCATAATGAATCATCGCATCGATCGTGCAACGATATAAAGAAACTTACTTCTCGACCGCCATCATAAACGCCAAGTACGATGGAGAATAAGTACAGGCCTTTCTTTAAATCTTCTTTCAGCATATCTGTTGATGATCAATATCACGATTAGATAGATTCATATTTTTTGGTATTGACGGATTTCGTCCACCACTTACAATAAGATAACCGCCAACGCTTAACAAATGCATAAATGAATGTTGACTGTAGATCTCAGATGCAGTGGTTATTGTAGTTGACCTACTAAACACTTTTAAATAACAATCATCCAGTCAAAAAAAAAATATCAAAAGGAAGAGTAATGATGGAGCACTCTTTTTGGATAAAAAAGAAAGGTGTACTCTTTTCCCCCAAAAGAGCGCTCCAAAAAAGGAGTAATCTCGATAACCCTTTTTTAAGAATTACTGCGGAGCACTCGAAGTGCATGTTCTAAAAGGAATACTCCAAAAACTACACTTTTTTTGAAGTGCTCTGCTGTGCTTCGGCTGCACTTTATAAAAAGCAGTGCTCCGAAGCGTTCTTGTTTTTTAGGAGTACTCTGGACTATTCCAAAAAAGAGTACTCTATAGTGCTCTTACTGGCTTTTTTCAAAAGGAGTGCTCCGAAAGCGGAGTACACCTTCATACTCCTAGTTCTGACCTTTTTTTTGACTGTGACAGCTATAAGCTAAAGACAAAGGACGGAAGTACCGATGTGTAGCATATCCTTTCCATTCAGACATTTCATTGAAATCAATATATAGAGTCGAGCTAAGATAAATGAAAATGTATACTGCATTTGTTCTGTATACTGATTAGTTTAAAAATAATAATTGTATTTCTCTGCTTTTTTAACTGCTAAAAACGTGCAGATGATGTTCAGAATGCTAAATAACAGTGACTATTTAATAAGTAGGAATGTTTTCTTTACTCATACTTGATAAATTACAGCGTTGCTACGAGTTATTTTCTTTCTCTATTTCTCTTCATTCTTGAGTTTAATCAGTTAGTTCCGTCCGCTTTTGATGACAAATTGTTTGACAATGTTTGTGTGTAAATGAGTCATACGCTGCATATATTGAATCAAGTCGTTTTTCTTTTTCACTTTTCAATCTTAAGTACTTTGAACATAACACATTCTTTTAGCTCTATATTCACCTATACTTAGCCTTAACTTACATTTACCTATAAAACGTTTCTAAATCTGACATTATCAAGTTATTAATCAAGAATGAGCACCTTTCACCTATGGCAATTACCGAATCGTGACTAGATCATACTATTCCTACGGTCAATATTGTTGTACATAATTATCTTATATTCGTTGTAACTGAATATGAACGGGCGATGAATGAAAGATTTTCGTCAAAGAAACGAACGAACGTTGATACTGAATTAATGATTTTTTCTCTACATCTTACCCAAATCAGCGGACGGGCTTGTAAACGAAAGCTTCATGTGAAGGCAGAGTTCCAGTTGGATCCATGTCTAGAGAAGTTTCCCTTTTAATGAATGCTACTTCTCC